TTGAGCCAAAAAACAAACATTTGATAAACATTCACAAACCAGCGGAAAAATGCAAGTTTCTTCACTTTGATTATTTTGACGAGAGCCTGATTCCACCACGCTGCCTCACATATCAAGAAAGACGAGATGAGAAGGGAGGGAAGTAGTACTTGGCCAATCTACTTTCTCTTTGTCTACCACACAAAGCTGTATCATGTATACTGCTGTAAGATCTATTTCCTCTATATCTACCACACAAAGCTGTATCATGTACACTGCTGTAAGATCTACTTTCTCTATGTCTACAGCCCAAATTGGTTCAAATGGTGTCAATGCGGGTTTAAAATACACGTAGACATAAAAGAATTAAAAAGGAAATATAGTGAGACGTGCTTACATGCTAACAATATGAGTAACTTCTCGCACTGAACAAATGGAGATATTGACCTCAAATGGACACTAATTTCAAATGTGTAGGTTTTCTTTTGATGCTATATTCTTTAGTTATAGCACGCTTCTTATTATTTCATACTTATTATTTTTTTAAACTTCACCTTTCAGCATGACATGTGAGGCAGCTTTGTGGAATTAGGTTCTCGTCAATTTTGGGGCATGTAGAGTTATTGGTATCATCTTAAAGCGTGTTCACTTATCTTTATTTGGATGGAAAAAAATCCATTTATCTTGAATACAAGTCGAGATATTGGCGAATGAATGAGGTGGGGGTTACCTGTATTCAGAGATTAAATTAGTGAGAAAATGGCCGCCAAACATTAGTTATTTCCTTAGCTTAAGAGTCCGTGATAACTGATCATTTACATTTTTTTTGTACCTTTAATCAACGTTTGTCAGAAAAATCCACACAGAAAATTTAATGAGTTTTTTAATTGGCATGAAAGGTGTTGAGCCAAAAAATAAAAATTTGATTAAAATTCACAAACCTGAGGAAAAACGCAAGTTTCTTCACTTTAACTATTTTGACGAGAGCCTGATTCCACCACGCTGCCTCACATATATCTATTTCGATAGGATTCAATCCGAAAAGTAATTTATTTTGTCAGCACGCTTCACTTTAATGTTCTTCCTTCTTGCAGGTTGGTCGTCACTTTGTTAAATAACGGTCAAGGAAATAAAACTTCCAAAATTGAAGCTCCGAAAATGAAAATTGAACCAACGAGTCGTGACCTGCCCTACACTGTTGGGGAAAACGCAACATTTACGGTACGCTCCTGCGGAAATGGTGATTAAAAGGTTCTGTAAGGTTATTTAAGAGGCGGGACCTCCGAGTTAAATGTCCGAAAGGACGACTGAGCCTAATGGAAAATGAGTGTAAAGTACTTTTCCCAATAACACAGCGTCGGACCGAGTTGACGTTCGAATCCTCGACCCTGCAATCTCACGATGACGAGTCCGGTAGCCTGACCACTAGGCCAGCGACGCCAGGATGCTTCTGACATTCTCCGAGTTACTTTACGGCATGCCTGTCTGTTTGTTTGTCTCTTTATCTGTATGGTACTCGGCTGTAGATCGGTG